ATGCTATTTAAGTTTTTTTTTTTTTTATAACGAATCTAAATTTCTTAAAGTAGAAAAACTATTATATTCTTGAAACATAAAATAATCGTTTTATTATAACATGATTTTCAAAATGGTCGTAATTAGATGATTAGACGCCCGTATTGTAGGGTCCTCGGAGTACAAATTTCCACTAAGTAGAAAGAGTCACGTGGCACTGAAACGTCATAGGTGTCCATTGTTAATAAGTACTCCAAAAGTTCCTACAAGTACTCCTAAAGCTAATCATAAGAATGAATATATCGAATAGATTTGACGTTACATTAGATAGACTACACATTATGTTTGCGGAAAATTTTGACGTCGACGATATTCCTTTGGTTACGGACGTTCAATCTTTTAGCACCGATAAATGACGACCTGCAAAAGGGACAGTGAAAACAAAGCCGTTGACAATTCGTGACTTTGTGACTAAAAAGAACGATTTGCTACATTTTGACTTCTTAATTATTTATAAATAAGCGAATATAAATTTTCCTCCATTCAGTATTTTGATAAATGATATATGAATAAATTCCTTATAACTTCTTTCTTTTCCAGTAGTAAATATCAAGAAATGACACTCCTTCAGTGTCACTGTACATCATTACGAATTTTACCAGATTCTGCGCGACTTTTTTTTAAAATGCATATTAGTTATTATTTTTTGTTCAAAAAAGAAATATAATATTTCCTTAGAATATTCAATTTGGTAAGAACAAAAAAGGAAAAAAGAAAGAAAGAAAAAAGAAAGAAAAAATTGCGATTGAGGCATAAACAATAGTTCTGAATGATGATAAAGCCATTTGCAGAAAAAAGCCCCACCTCCCTTTCACCTCCGACTAAAGTCTCGGAAATGTGTAAAAACTTCATAAATCCTTTCTTGTGCACATTTGTGATTTCAAACGCCACAAGTTATACCTTGCACTGGAGTCGATCATTAATCCAGTTATTACTGTGTCATCATCTAACAGATTTAATACACTCTACAATTTAGTCGATTGAAAACACAATAGGCAATTTACACCCATGACGTCAGAGTGATGGCGCATAACACCGGTGATTTAAAAGCATATTAAGAAATTCAAATTTGTGTCGCTGAAACATAAAGAATATTCATTTTCTAGGAGAGAAATAGAAGATTTAGGAAAAATATCCTGTATTATTGCATTATGTATATGTAAACTCTGATCTTACGTTTTAGCCCCATCCTAGCCAAGGGGTTAACAAAGGATAAAAACACACTTTGGAACGCTTGCATGTTATGTTGTCCTATTACATGTACTCTTGAAAATTACATATGTAGATCTTAATTTCTTATATATTTTACATTTCAAATATATTCTACATTCCAGAAAGAAAGTTTTTATTCCCTATTGTGGCCTGGAGACCGTGATTTGAACAAACATGAATTTCAATCATTTTCTGACTATGTTTGCATTTTAATATAACTAATCATGGGCTAAATGTTCGGGAGAAAAAAAAAATCATTATATATTTTGAATAGATTCAAAACAAATAAATTGAACAAATCCAACAGCTGTTTTGCCGATGGTACTCACATATTTAAGCGTATATGCAAATTAATATACTGCTGAATAAACACCCTTCACTTAATTAATTGTGATCACTGAAACGCTAACCAAAAAGAAATTGAAGCAAATTATTTCAGAGGGACAATGAGGAAGTATGTCACTCCTACCGTTTACGAAAGTGTTAATATCTTAAGTTAGTTTGTTGTTTAACGTCCCTCTCGAGAATATTTCCCTCATATGGAGACGACAACACTTTAAGATGGAGAGGGCTGTAAATTTAGACCTATGCTCGGAACCCAGGGCCATTGAGTAGTAAAGGATCTTTTTCGTGCCAGCACCTAAGTCCTGCGACACGGGAATTCGGTTTATAAGGTCTCATCCGAAGGACTGGCCTCCACGTCCCACAGTGGGATTCGAACCCGCGACGTAAGGATGAACTCTTTACTCCGCGACTCTAGAGCAGACGCTCTATAACCCTGCGCCACGCTGGCGACTTTACGGAAGTGAAAAACTACGATCGAAGAGAATGTTCATCAGTATGGTTCAAACTCAACTTTTACAATGTATTTCTTATTATTCGTGCACATCGGGTGATTAAATCTTTAACAATAGAACGCACAATTCTGATTTTTTAACAATACAGTACAGGATTTACGATAGAATTAATTCCACAAAAACAACCAGCAATAAAAAGGTAAAGGACGGAGGCTTCATTAAAGAAGAAGAAAGACACCATAAGTGAGGTAGATAGAACTAATAAGAGACATAATAACATTTCAAGCAGTACCACAGTATCAACGATTTTTTTCCTCTTTAAATCTGTTAAGTGTTGATACAAAGATGATGTAGCCTCAGGTTTTACATGACCATCATTTTTTGATCCATGGGGTGAGCTAAAATATCTAAAGGTATGTTAATCGGTTGAACTTTGACATTTTGAACTTTACCTTTTGTTATTTGATCTCTCATGTAACCATTTTTAAACGAAGTGTTTTTATGTACTGCTGACGAGCTAGTTGAGCATCCGTTACCCAAGATTTCACAATTGTTGCGTACAGTTTTAGGAGTTATTTTCCTGTTCATTTTGATCACATATCGCAGAGGTACGCAATATAATCCAATGGTCGCAATGACTAAAATAACAATAAACTGCATATAATGTATAAAAATATGAAAATTGTTTTTGTAGACTTGTTGGACATTACAATCTTGCAATGGATCATCTGGCGGTGAAATTAAACCCACCGTGAAAATTAATATCATCGACCAACTTAAAAAGCAAACTATATATTTTCTGGAGTTTCGAAACAAATTTTAACTCCACGATGTATGACAGATAACTAAGTATCCTTGTAAACCAATCAGAAACGTCTGAAGTAGAGACAAGAAAACACCATTTACAGCAAAAAAAGTTTTGATTATACATGTTACCTTGAAAAAGTCTTTCTCCTCTGAAATATTAATTTGGATGGCAGTTATCAAATATCCAAGTCCGACCAAAAAATCAGACATAGACAACATCAGAACGAGAAAATGGTATGTAATTTTGTCTAAGGACTCTTCTTGTGAACAAGATAATGAATATGAACGTGTTGAGAAAAACGCAAGGTAATCCTAGAAGCAGACAAACGGAAGTTGAAAAGATTTTTCTAGATGTCATTGGGTTTTTTTCTGTGTTATTTTCCATTTGACAAGTTATTGGTCTACACAGCTAATTGTGCCACGTACGTGTAACGTATGGTAGCACATACCATATGTTACACGTATGTGAAACATACGTAACACATATGTGTATTCCAACCGCACGTTTCACGTACGTGGTACAACGTATGGATAACATGCGTGTGACAACATACGTTTCACATAACGTACGTGAAACATGCGGTTGGAATACACGTATGTGTTACGTACGTTTCACGTACGTGTAACATATGGTATGTGCTACCATACGTTACACGTACGTTTATAAACGCATGGTTTACATGTGTATTGTCAACCACACGTTAAACGTACGTTAATGAACGCGTGGTTTACATATGTATTGTCAACCATATGTTACACATACGTTAATAAACGCATTGTTTATATGTGTATTATAAACCATACATTACACATATTTCACACACATGGTTTACATTTATTATCAACCACACGTTACACATGCGTTAATATATGCATGGTTTACATGTATTATAAACCACACATTACATGAACGTTAATGACAAGTATGAGTATTATCAGCTATGTTACATGTATGTTAATAAAAATTGTTTTACATGTGTGTGAAAAGATAGCTGTGTTTGAGAAGGCTGTATATTTTCTATATTAATGGTACTTTTACATACATGTACAATAAATGTAGGTCAACTATAATTAAATTCAATCCTTTTTATTTTTTTTAATTTCAATTTCGTTTAATTAATTAGTAAAATTAGTATTGAATTTTAGTCAGTAAGTGAAAAAAATCCATAAAAGTTTTATTGTTGCCGGGACTATAATATTCTTAAATTGGTGACATTTTCAAATACACAGGAACTATTTGTACAAAAGTACTCAGGCCAAATTCTTTTTTTTTTTTACTTAATAGTTCAAATTGAATTTGGAGAACTAATCAAGATAATGTTTAACAATCAATAACCTGTAAATTTGTAATTCATGAAACAGAGTATTGAGACCAACTTGGTCTAAGTATAAAATCCCTCTTAAAACGGGACTCTAGATCATAAGTTGTCTGGATTTTAATGATTATACTGTAATATGTTTTAAAGATTCAACTATTTTTTTTTTCAAAAAATAATATCATATCATGATCTATGATTAAAACCCATTCACCTCTGAAAGCTCACAGGTGTGTGCGTTGTTGACTTGTGCGTGTTTTGCGTCTTTAATGTTTCAATTTATTTCACATTGTTTACCTTACGTCCACTTGCATATCTGTCATGGAGTAATCAGTTCGCATTGGTGTATAGTTTACTCTTAGAGCAGTAAAACATAGTCTACATACAACTACAAGTACATCAATCTCGTAACGTGTATATCGGATATCGGTAGAGGCACATAAAATTGAACTCGATCATCGGAGATATAATCATTCCGAATTCAGGAGCAAAAGCTGAATTAAAAAAAAAAATCACGATAATTTCACAACAAACTCAAATGGAATTCACATAAATAGATATTAGATAATTATACAGTAGGTAGCGTCCGTATAACACTAAAATATGTAATATATACGTTCCGGAATTTTCACCTCCAATTTAGTATTTACGTTACGGGTGACGTCACTGTTAAAGTTAAGAAGTCTGATGTCTGCAAGACAGTGTCTGAAGTTAGGCTAGGATAACGGTGAGGAATATATAACATCAACACTTATTTAATTACTTTATATTTCAGACTGTGTTGCATATAAACTAACGGGCGTGTTTCTTTTATTTTAGTGTATAACGTAATGTAAACTAAGTAAGAAAATATTGACGCAGTCAGCTGTCTTGGTCAGCACCCCAGCCCAGGTGTGAATCAACACTGGCACACTATATCAAAATTCAGGTGAGGTTTAAAACATTCTGTTAGGCCTATAAAAAATATTTATTGTAACTGATTTTTTTTTTAGCCTACCAATAAGATGCAAATAAAACCCTTGATGGAAAAAGTTCCACCCACCCAAATGTATTTCTTTACAAAACATGTAGAGGATATATAAATTATCTTTTAGGGCAATTAGGGTGTAACACTTATTTTTCAGATGTCTTTTTCATACAGTCCTTATGAATAAAAATAATGTATTTTAATGAGATTGTGATTTTTTTTTTATGTGATTTTAAATGTACACTCCAGGATGGTGGCTGAAGCTCTGACATCTCCTATGTAAACACCTAAATGCCAAGTCTGGACTTCAAAAACAGATTCTGAAAGTTTAACCAGCATTATGGTAATAATCTTATTGTAATTACATATATCATGTAATGATGTGCATTACATTTCAATTACAAGAGGAGAAAATGTTAAATGTTATCAGTAAAATAAGTAATTTTTCATCTTGTTTGTTTTGCTTTACAAATCTGAAATGCAATTTTTTTTTACCTCAAGGACAAAAAGTATACACTTCGAACAGACACAAAAACATATAGGTCCATGCCAAGCTATGAAAGATTTAAGTTGAGGGTAAGTTCTATTATTAGATCTACATGTATTATATAGAATTTAATTGTCAGACATATGGTTATGTCTAAAATTTTACTGTTGTATTTATATCTGTGATAAGCAATATTTGCACCTGAGCTGACTTATATGTTAAATCACAAAAAAAAATGTTTTAACTAATTAGGTAACCTGAGTCAGTCATGACCTATTGCTATCTGTTTTTAGCTCACCTGAACTGAAAGCTCAAGCGAGCTTTTCTGATCACATTTTGTCTGTAGTCTGTCTGTCTAGCTGTCCGTCTGTCTGTAAACTTTTCACATTTTCGATTTCTTCTCAAGAACCACTGGCCCTATATTGGTGAGGAATACATAACATCAACAGTTATTTAATTACTTTATATTTCAGATTGTGTTGCATTTAAACTAACGGGTGTGTTTCTTTTATTTCAGTGTATAACAATGTAGATTTAGTTTACCAAATAATTAAGAAAATGTTGACAAAGCACCGCAGCCCAGGAGTGAATCAACACTGGCACTTTATATCAAATTGCAGGTGAGGTTTAAAACATACTCTTATAACAGGTATTTATCATAAATATATTTTTAAGCCTACCAATAAGATGCAAATAAAACCCTCGATGGAAAAGTTTCACCCACACCATGTATTTCTTCATAGAGCATGTAGAGGAAATTAATATCTTTTAGGGCAATATTAGGGTGTAACACTTATTTTTAAGATGTCTTTGCCTTTTTCATCCTTATGAATATTAATAATATATTTTGAGATTGTGATTTTTTATGTGATTTTAATGTACACTCCAGGATGGTAGCTGAAGCTCATATGTATCTCCTATGTTAACACCTAAATGCCATGATTGGACTTCAAAACAGATTCTGATAGTTTTACTAGCATTATGGTAATACAATGTACTCTTAAAAAAGAAATCAGATTTTCTGATCCCATTGCTTTTAGACTTGCAATTACATATCATATAATCATGGTAATGATGTGCATTATACATTTCAATCAAGAGAAGAAAATGTTAAATGTTATCAGTAAAATAAGTAATTTTTCATCTTGTTTGTTTTGCTTTACAAGTCTGAAATGCAGTTTTTTTTAACATATATTTTTTTTTTACCTCAAGGACAAGAAGTACATGTATATACTTCGAACAGACACAAAAACTAATAGGTCCATGCCAAACTTTGAAAGATTTATGCTGAGGGTAAGTTTTATTATTATATAGAATTGTCAGACACATGGTTATGTCTAAAATTTAACTGTTGTCATTTATATCAGTGATAAGCAATATTTTGTATTAGCTCACCTGAGCTGACATAATCACAAAAAAATGTTTTTTTAAAACTAATTTAAAAGTAACCTGAGTCAGTCATGACTTATTGCTATCTGTTTTTGTCCATCATCATTCACTGTGCATTGTCTTGTAAAATTTGAACATTTTCAGTTTCTCTAAAACTGTTGAACTCATATTGACCAATTTTGGCATAAATAAATGCAGCATATGTGGGTGAATGGGAACAAAAATAGCAAATTTCATGGTCCCTGCTTCCTCTGGGGCCTAGGGGATGGAGCTATATAAAACCATCAAAATTAATGCATTAATCTTTAAATCTGGACATCAAGCAAACTGTTTAGAATGGTTGTAATGAGCATTGAGTCTTCTACTAAAATTATGGAATTTATGGCCCAGGGTAAGTGATTCAGGGCTTTATTGATCATATAGTGAAAATGCAATGATTCATTGAAAATCCAAATAATATTCCTGGCCAGGAGTTTAAAGCAAACAAACTAAATTCATGACTATGATGAACAAGTTTTGCTTTCTGAGTTCGCTCACAATGCTTCTATTTTAAATTTGTCATGTAGAGAATTATAAGGTAGATACTTGAGGATAGTGAAAAGTCTAGTTTAAAAGATCAATGTTATTAATACTACAAAAAACTGTAGTTATTCGACACTATTAGTTTCCCCCTGCAAACAAAGTTTGGGGGAATATGTAGGAATCACCTTGTTCATATGTCTGTTTGTCTGTCTGTGCAAACATGTCTGGTCCATATATTTCTTACGGAGGAACATTAGAATCTACTACTTAACACAAAGATTATTCATGACCTGAGGGTGTGTCATGACCCTGACCCATGGCCAAGGTCATTTTGGCAAGTTCAAGGTCACTGGAAGAAGAAGTTCATAATTTGTGTCCAGTCCATATATTTCTTACGGATAAACTTGGCAAGCTCCCATTTTGCACAAATATTGCTTATGGCCTGAGGGTGTGTCATCACCTTGACACAAGGTCATTTGGGCAAGTTCAAGGTCACTGACAGAAAAAATTCATAATTCGTGTCTGGTCCATATCTTTCTTATGGAGAATAATTTTGGATGTTGGGAGTATCCACTTCACACAAAGATTGTTTATGACCTGAGGGTACATGTGTCATAATCCTGACCTATATAGTCACTGTAGAAAAAATGGATAAATAATGCATCCATACTTTCCAACAGAGAAATACTTGAAAACTCTTAATGTTTAAACAAATTGTGAATACCTCTTAGATCCTCAAATACTAGTATTAGTGACTTGATATCTTCTCTGAAAAACTCAGTGGGAGGTATTTGTCCATTTTGGACAGTTCTTGTTTAGTTCTGAAGGGAATCAACCAAGAGTTATATGTGGAAAATAATAATGTTCAGAAAAAAACTGTGTTTTTCCATATGCAAATTCATTTAATATTTTCTTTTTCTTTACAGATGAAAGGGAATTGCAGAAGAATGAATTGATGTTAAAATCTCAACATTAAATATGGCTTAAATTTGAAAATGTCTTTCGTTGTGATTGCCTAAAGAGCAATTAGGATCAGGAAATTTGAGGTGAAGGATATCCAGATATGTACCTTCAAAATGTGGATCATTCAACAGATGAAAAGAAAATAAGCCCTTGAAGAAAATTATGTCAAATGCATGAAATGAATATTTTTGTTTCACATGTTTACAATATGTGAAAAAGAATTTTCAAAACATATGTTTAACCATGGTTTGACAGATGTATGGTACTTATACAATTATCATATGAGCAGTGTATACAAACCATGTTAAACGCATGTTTCTCAAAACATATGTTACACACACGTTGCACGTACGTTATTCATACGTGAACCGTATGAATAACGTACGTGTGCAACATGTGTGTAACGTATGGTAGTCAATACATATGTGTAACGTACGTGTCACGCATGATATTCATACGTGTGAAAACGTATGTTTAACGTACGTGGTGCTTTTTTCATGTGATACGTACGTGAAGTCACGTATGTATCACATACGTTTAACGTATGTGATACATACGTGGCACATTTTGCTGTGTAGATGATTCTTTCAATTCGATTCAGGTGTTACACCAACATCCTTACGATCTTTGAAAATAAGAAAATACACAAAAAATTGATTGCAAAAGTATGAATTATGAAGTATATAATGTCGATTTCGAGCTATATATGATTTATATGCGCTAAGAGCTGCTAGGACATACTTTAGAGTCTCGATTTACATGTAGCGCTTAAGGATGCCATGGTGTTTTCAACGCAGCTAGAAATTTCATCAGGGAATTAATTTGAGAGGTCAGAGAATTGAAGGATCAAACTTGATAATGACTAGGCTTTGTTAAGCAAATATAATACATGGAAGCCTTCAAAAGTGAATTCGATGTCGCAGTTACATATGCACTGTAATCAGATTTAATGGAAAAAAATATATGAAACATACTGTAATCTATTGTGATGATAAATATTCATTTCTGATAATAATGAAAAACCAAACCAAAAGTCAAAACCCAAATGTTCATAAACCAGATTTTGTTTTATCATATAGAAGGTTCATTTTAATTAACAAAAGAAAAACACTAATCATTTAGTTTCTTCTCCGTGTGTTCTTTACACGGACAAGTATTTGAATCTTATTCAAATACCTTATTGGAAAGGGATTTGCCGGTAAATCTAATGTAAATCCTTCTACATTATTACTCTAGAGATTATTCTCTAAAGATATGACTTTCACGATATGATCTCCAAGACATTGTGCATCAATTAACATGTTTATATTCATGCAAGTTGGAATCATACACCTATCCAAATGTTTTTTGGACATGCAGAAGGTATTAACTTATTAAATGTCAATAAATGATGCAAAAATGCACGGTTTGAAATTTTGAACATATTTGTACTTTTCATTTATTGTAATTGCTTATCGTCATACATTAATTGTTGTCCGTTTTACATGTGTGTGATAATATGAGAATGTATTACTAATTTTTGGACGCTAGAAACTACTTATATAGCCAAAGAGCAGTGAAGAATCTTCGCCATGTCAGCATCTAATCAGACTAACTCAGTATTGATTCAGTGACAATGAAACTAAACCCATTGGATATAATAATGTTTTCAGCTTTCAAATGACTATGACTTTTTAAAGATTTTAGTTAAAAAGGAACATAAAACTGCATCGATAATCTTGTATTAACAGAATATTTACGTTTGTTACAAATAAATCAGATTTAAAGTAAATCTTACCATAAGATTGCTTATTTGGCTGTTGGCTAAAATTATACTTTCGGTTTTAAAATCTCATGAAGTTCAGAACCTGTTTCTTCAATAAACCGACGAATTTAGATAACGTCTAATGTAGTAGTGTGTAAATGCTTAAGTTTTCTTATATGTGTCTTCCGATGGAAAAATAGGAAGTCCAAAGAGAAACTTATAAGAAGAGATGAATTAGTACCAATTTACCATTAGAGATCAATGCTTTACGCGGTTTCCTATCTCAAAATACGATATCAGGTTCGGTGGCCATAAAACTTACACGAGCTCACTTTTGATCTCAGTCTCACTTTTGCAAAAGGAATTAATCGTTGAAAAGTGAGACTGAAATCAAACGTGAGCTTGTCTTAGTTTTATGGCCCCAGAGCTAGATCTATTTCTTAGTGAAAACTTTCATAATG